ATTGCGATATGTATCTCATGTTCGATATGATGTCTATAGCAAAGGGAAAACTGATAAACTTACCTTATACACCAATTGTAGCTTTGAACTTTCTGGGAATTAGGCGTTGATAGAATGACACAAATAGTCGTATGGTATTAAGGGCAGTGAATTGTTGCTAGACGTTCGCCATTGTCTATATCAATCTAATATGAGTCTTGCGCAAGTGGGAGATTAAAAGGCCTAGTATGCTCAAGAATCATATTAAAGTGATATTGCTAAATAGCATATGATACTAATGGGTCACACTAACAACAACTTGATACAGTTGATTATGTATTAGAAATTGATTGTAGCAAATATTCAATAAAACTCTTATAATTAAATAGGAAATTATTGATTTCTAGGAAATAATAATTTTCATTAGCAATTAATATTACATAATTCATATGGTATGAATTAATAAGTCATGTACAACATTTTGGACCATAAGGATTTTTGTCTTTTGTCGAAATTATACTTTAAGGGACATGGAGTGATGTTAATAAGAGGCATGGGAGACAAGCTTATATGAATGGACACACTTATGACAAGGGGAGACAAGGTTGTCTAAAGGTCTTAATGGTTAAAGACCTTTGGATCATGTGTATTCTTTAAATAGCTAAAGTCTTGCAGTCTTGGGGTATTCTTTTTCTTGCCATGGTCGAGAGTATCTTCCCTCTCATCCTCTTTTCTTTTGCTTTGAACACTTCAAGATTTAATGCTTGCATTTTTCTCTCTTTGAACAATACTTGAGTTTGGTTCAAAACTTAAGAGTTTTACACAAAGAACTAGCATTCTACATCAAGTTGAGTCATTCTTGGTGTCTCAAAGGTTACACATTCTTCATGAACCTCCAAGTCTCCTAAGAGGACTCGAAAAACTACAAAGGTTGTTATTTCTTCATCTCTTCTTTGGTTGGTGTTTAAATCTTTCTATAACTTGCAAGAAGGTCCTTGGTGGGTATAAAATGTTTATGTTATTTAAAAAATTAAAGTCTTCCATTGCCATATTTCTAGTTTATGAAACTATTTTTGAACTAAAACCAACAACATCAACTTGAAATGTGAAGTTGTAGAGCATTCCACCGAAGGGGCATTTGCGACATTTTCAGAAGATGATGACCTATAGAAGTATTGCAAAGTTTATCGTTGGTGTAAAGAGTATGGTAAATTTTGTAGGTTTATTCTGAATGTTTAATAATAGATAATAGTTAATTTGTAAACTAATGTTGTGAACAATCTTTTAATAATGACCAAACACTTTATCAAAAACTACTTATTGACTTTTCCACCACAAATCTAAACTAATTCAGACACTTTTAAAAAAACTCATTTTTCACCAACAAAATGTCCTTCAATTTGAAGTTCAAAATGAAATCCAAAACACATATTACCTATTTACTTAATATTTTATCTAAACTAACTAAGTAGAGTGAATCACTTAAAATGAAACTTCGACACCATATGTATTTATCACCTTAGGTCTTTATATCTCACTTAATATTCGACACAAGGTAAATGTACAAATAATATAAGAAAACCCGTTGAAAAATGTGACATTTGGCCATGGTTTTCACTGTGGCACGACTTGTCACGGAGTTTTTTTTTTTTTTTTTCAGGTTACAAATTTCAATATAATTGAATCGCTTAAAATGAAACATCAATACCTTTTGTCTCACTTAATAACCGACCCACTATAAAAAAAAAGGATGTTTGCCCAAGGTTTTAGGCCGTTGCACTAATTGTCAATTTTTTTTATGTAAAACAGACATGAATGTGTGAAGTCTGATTTGTAATGATGATTCGTTTTCAGTAAACCATCGTGGAAACAATCATGTAAATTAGTTTATGACCTTTAGTGACGAGAAATATGAAAACCAAGAAGACTAAGTTTTCAAAAATCGACAGCATAGCGTAGTTTTGTACTAATGTATATTGTTATTTTTGTCCATTTACAGTTCCACAAATGCTATAGTCTAAAGGTATCTACACATAAACGAGATTCAAAACTCAAATTGGATGATAACAATTTTTCTAAGGGATTATGACTTACTTTCATTTTTATTCACATTTAGTTAGTTTTTTTCTCTTACATTATTTACCAATGAACTTGATTTCGATGCTAAAAAAATACTCTTACAACGAGTTATAGCCAATTGTAATGGTAAATTTTGAAAAAAAATCCGTTGGTATGGTGTAAGAAAAAGTGATTACATATAAAGATAAGTGAGATTTTATTTCCCTTTTAAGTCATTATCTCTTATCTATTTACGAGTATAGACACTCAAAGAAAATGCAAATGTTGATCACAAATGATCAATTTCTATTTTATTGGTAGAATAATCAGACTTGGCCAAGATGAGATAATGACCTGCATACTCAAACAAATTGATTTATTATACCCGTGGATTAATATAAATTAACGAAAAGTCACATGCATACTCAAACAAACACTATACCTAAAGAAATGTAAAGAACATGCCAACGGTAGGTAAGGTGAATGAAAAAAATCATTGATTTTCAGGTTTGATACGTATGATAATCAACCTATTTACAAGTGAACGACCAGAATAGCCCCAACCCCAAGCCAAGGTAATGAAGGAGCTGAAAGGAATAAGGCGACAATTCTATTTTTAGAAGAGTCGAGATAAAGTAAAATGGCAACCTGGTATTCTGCAAAGATTTATCTTTTCTTTTTAAAAAAAAATTAAAAACAATCAATGATATTTTCAAAAAAAGAAAAGAACAATTTGTGAAAGTCACTAAAAACTTGCATAGAAAGATTGCATGTATTTCGTTCATATACTTGCAGTTGGACAATTAAAGTTCTGTTTTCAATAATCCTAACTAAAGAATACCAAGAAATATCAAAATTGAACGAAAAATAGAACCAGTTGCATGCGCGAAACGCAACTTATTACAAAATTATTGTCTACAAAAAGAATTCCATCCAATTGAAGGTTCATGCACCAAAAATTTCTGTATATAAAATTGTTTACATTTTCAATAGGGAACTAGAACTTTTTGAGATCATAGGCCGACAACGCACCTAAGTACAATGTCCACTTTCCATTAAAGCCCAATTGAGATTCAATAAACTTTCGGAGCATGTTAGTGTATGTAAAGATGATTATGGTATGCGTATAGCGGCATAGTAGGATTTTGTTTTAGTTTAGGTCAAATAATTTATAAAATATGAATGTAAAATTTTTCAAACTATAACAAAATGTAATTATATGTGTACTCAAAACTAAGTTGTTTATTCAAGTGTTGCACACGGTGTTGTTTACATAATTTTTTTTTAAAAAAAAAAATCTGAAATGGAGTCTAATCAACATTTGTAATGATGTGTTTCCTTCTACTAAATTTCAAGTTTTAAATAAGATATGTCATATCACAATCATAATCCAATATATATATATATATATATATATATATATATATATATATATATATATATATATATATATATATATATATATATATAGAAAAGTGAATATACCCTTAAGGTATATAAGCTTGGGTACTCAAACTCACTATACTACATCGTTTTGTATTATATATTAAAATTGTAATTGTCTAATTGTTCTTATAATTCAACTTATAACTTGATTACTTCTAAGATTTTTATAAATTTCACATTTATCTTCATCTTACATACTTTTCATTTTCAACTATAATATATATAACCTAGTAGGTGTTCGGCAAAAATACATGATGTAAGAGGAAGATAATAGTGAAATTTCGAAAATCTTCAAAGTAAATCATGTTAGGGCTTGAAATTTAAGAACATTATAATGAATATATCTAACAAAACTACTAATTATGGTGGATTTAGGTATCTAAGTTTATTTAACCTTAAGGTATATTCACTTTTCCTATATATATATATATATATATATATATATATATATATATATATATATATATATATATATATACCTAACAACCTTATATAAGCTTAGGTACTAAACCTCATCAAACTACGTCATTTTGCATTAAATTTTCATTGCAATCATCCAAGGTTGTTAAACGTCATCCCTAAACTTGATTTACTTCAAAAAAATTTGGAAATTCATCATTATATTTCTCCTACATCCTTTCATTTGTAGCGGTATGATATGAAGCCTATAGGTGGTATTCGATAGAAAGACGTGATGTAAAAGAAAGATATTGTTGAAAGTCCAAAGATTTTGGAAGTAATCAAGTTATGGGGTTGAAGTTTAAGAACCTTAGGCAATTAAAATGTAAATATGATACAACCGATGTAGTATTATGGAGTTAGGTACCTAAGCTTATATAAAGTTGTTAGGTATATATATATATATATATATATATATATATATATATATATATATATATATATATATATATATATGAAATCTCAAATTTGTATGGGTAGATGAATGTCCACTCTTGCACCTATACAATCCTACTTTGCTCCGTAGTTGTTTTAGGTCCATATAAATCCTTTTTAATATATATATATATATATATATATATATATATATATATATATATATATATATATATATATATATATATATGGGTTAGGTTCATGTGAGACCACTTGATTTTGTGAGACGGGAAGACCAAATCTTGACCACTCATCCTAAATAATCAAAGGCTAATATTAATTCAGATTAAACCATAAAATAGGCGGTGGCAATTTTGTAAATTAATGGAACTTTGGGATTAGATCAAGACACGGAGGGGCATTAATGGAATTTTGCATTCTTTTTCTTTCAACACACAAAAACAAACACCCGGTACGAACCCTAAAACCCATTTGATCCAAATCTCGATCATCGTTCTGCTTCCAAAATCTCGATCATCGTTCTGCTTCCAAATCTCGATCATTGTTTCAGACTCTAATTCTGATTATACCTGAAATTCATCTTCCGATTATTACACGAAAACCACTCGATAATCAACTAGAACATTAAAAACATTTCGATTTTGAATTTGATATCGAATCAAATGGCTCATTCTACAAATTCTGATTCTGATTTTGTATCAACAGCTGTTCCAAGTAAGTATAATACTACAAACCTCTTGTTCTTACACAATAAACCTATCTGTTCTTATTATAGAAAGTTTTTTCACTTTAAATCGTTTTGTGTATTCAATAAATGTGTAATAATCGAGATAGTTCACTAACGATTTATATGTTGAAGTCAGTATGTAAAGGAATATAGCATTATAAAGCATACAATCTAAACCTAAATCTCAGTGTGTGATTTATATAGAGTCTATGTATCTAAATGTTAATTGTACAGAGTGTTCTAATTATTCCCCCATTTCATTTGATCTAAATATTCTTAATCAAAATCAGCAAAGATGTTATGTTATTCTAACTAATTGTTCATCATTTAATTAGATTTAGATCCATAAATTGTCTAATACTATAGATTTTGGTAAAACAAATCTCTTATTATGATTGTAGTATATTGTTTAGCCAAAAAAAATCTTTGTATTCTGGTGAATTTTATGTTGATTGATAAATAGAAATTTGTTGTTATGTATTTATAGAACTGTGACCAGATTATATATCATAAACTAATATGAATTCCAATGGAATTTGATGTTATTGATGCAGCTAAAAAAGTGCAAACAAATGCAACTGTAAGAAAAACAGGGAAAGAAATTTATATCGATATAGGTATAAATTGAGATTACTTTTAGATTATATATTATAATTACTTTTATTAACCTCTAAATGCTTTTACTAAATATTCTAATTGTTTTTATTTGATAATTTTCTTCATACAGATTCAGCAAGTCAAGATATGGTTAAAAAAAGGTATGAACACCCTTTCTTTCAAATAATTCATAAAAAAACAAATGTTTGGATTTATTTTTCTAATTGATTTTAATTGTAAATCAAAAGAAAAAGAAGACAAACCTTATGTTGATTGATAAATAGAACTTTGTTGTTATGTATTTATAGAACTGTGACCATATTATATATCATAAACTAATATATTCTAATTGATTTATTTTTCTAAGTTAGTTATTCTGAATATTCTAATTTTGTTTTATCATGTATTCTAATTGATTTTAATTGTTAAATTTCATGACAAAAGATTTGCAAATTCTAATGGAATTTGATGTTATTGATGCAGCTAAAATAGTGCAAACAAATGCAACTGTAAGAAAAACAGGGAAAGAAATCTATATCGATATAGGTATAAATTGTGATTACTTTTAGATTAAATATTATAATTGCTTTTATTAACCTCTAAATGCTTTTAATAAATATTCTAATTGTTTTTATTTGATAATTTTCTTCATACAGATTCAACAAGTCAAGATAGGGTTAAAAAAGGTATGAACACACTTTCTTTCAAATAATTCATAAAAAAAAAAAACAAATGTTTGGATTTATTTTTCTAATTTTGTTTTATCATATATTCTAATTGATTTTAATTCTTAAATTTCATGATAAAAGATTTGCAAATTGTAAATCAAAAGAAAAAGAAGGCATATGAAGGAAAATCAAAGAAAAAAATTAAAAAAAAAAGGTTGTTACTTCTGAAAGCGACTCCGATTCTTCTTCTGATTCATCCTCACATCATAGAAAAAGAATTAAAAAAGGTATCAACAATCATTCTTTAAAACACTTATTCTAATTTTTTGGATTTAATTTTTTCGGTTGATTATTATGAACATTGAAGTTGATTAAAATAAATATTCTAATTTATTTCAATTTTTAAATTTCTTCATACAGCTAAAAATACAAAAAAGAAGAAAATACTTGAAAAGAAAAAAAGACACTATGTTTCAGATTCTTCATCTTTACAGTCAAAGACATCAGAGTCAGAGACATCCACAACAGAGAGTGATGAATATGGTAAAATATGTTGTCTTTTATAATATATATGTTGACATCCAATAAAAGTATATTATATTTTTCTAATAGAATAATTATTGATGTAGATAAAGTAAATAAAAAGAAAAAAAGAAAAGTCAAAAAACATTTCAAACGCCACAAGAAATTAATCCATAATGATGTGAAGCACAAAAAGAAAAAACATGTTTCTGATTCTTCAACAGAATCAGAGACAGAATCATACACACATTCAACGGGTAAAATAATCTAAACTTTTTTTTTCCCGTGAAATATGATTTTATACTTTACAATTCCAATATTATGGAACAATATAAATATTAGAGTGTTTCGAAGAATATTTTTCATAGACTATGTTTGACATGAATTACTTATGGATCATAATTGAAAATTCTTGGTATTTTGATGTGAAAGTATTTTTCTATTGTTGATTGATGTGAAAGTATGTTTCTATGATATTACACATTCTATATATTATTATATCATAAATCATGTTATACATGATTTTTTTGTTGTTTTACTTAGCTGATATAGGATTTTGCAAACATTTGAGTTTAATTTTTTATAAATAATATAATTTGAATTAATATCTACATTTTACTTAGATGATATAGTATTTTTGGATTAAATTCCGTAGAATATTCTGATATAATAAGTGTATATGTATAATATTCTGTTTGGAATATTACTTTGTAATTAAATGAAATATGATTTTTGGATTTTTGTGGGGTTACTGACATCTATGACTGATGTAATAAATTAGATGATGAATCTGATGAAGAAATCTATGTAAAAAAGAGAACCGGTGATAGAAAATATGTTGAAGGAGTGACAAAGATTAAAAAAGCAAAAAGGAAGAGGAATAGTAGGGACAATCGTGCAGCAATAAAAAAACAAAAAACTGTGAAAGAGCAAAAGACTGTGAAAGATATATTGAAGGAGTTGCCTTCAATAAACACCAGATCAACACCTGGATTGATGACAGATGCTGTAAGTTCTTTGACATCAGAACAAAAAGATTGGGTGAAACGGATGGGATTTAAAGCCTTTTTAAAGATCAACATTAAGAGTATTCCCTTAAAACTTTGCCATTTTGTGCTTAAGCATTACGATGAAGGCACAAACAATATTCTGATTAAAGGAAAAAGAATAAAGATCACAAAGGAAAAAATTCATAAAGTGTTTGGTTTACCCAAAACTGGAAAAAGCTTATTTGATTTGCACAAGGTTAGTGAAGATCATCAAGTGTTTGATGGATGGATGAAGGAACTTGAAGACGGAAAGGCAAATGCAACAAACTACAAGAAGATTATTCAAAAATCCAAACAAGTGGATATGAATTTCAAGCTGGGTTTCATAGCTTTATTTGTTAATACGTTTGCAGAATCCATTCTTATGGGGACAAACAACTTAGTTCCAGTTAGAGCACTTGTTGAAGTAGATGACATTTCTAAAATCGATTGGTGTGCATATTTGTTGTACTGTGTGAAAAAATCAAAAGGGAGATGGCATCCAGACAACCCCAAGTGTTATTATATAGGCCCGATGTTGTTGCTATTGGTATGTTTTTTCATATAGTTATTTTTTTTCTTAAAAATGGATATCTAATATGATGTTGAAATAATGCAGCTAATTTACTGTGATGAAATTGAATGCAAGCTCCAAAAAATAGAACGTAAAACACCATTAGTTACGATGTGGACAGCAGATAAGTTGAAGGAAAGACAATCTTTTGAGATTGAAGCTGGTGGATTTGGGGTTGGGAATCTAATTGAATAAAGTTCAAATTTAGAACTTGAGAAGAATGAAAATCAGGTGAATGAGAATCAGGACATGCGTATTGAGGTATATTGTAAGTAGAATATATTATTAAATTATGTTTTAGAATATATTTTAATTATATCCTAAATTAATATCAGAAAAATATTCTAATGTCTTTTTTTCCCAGGAGTATGAAGAAAAGTATGAAAAAATTTTCAACAATGTCTCAACTGAAAAGAATGATATGGAAGATATTATTTTTCATTGTCTATCGAAGTTCCCTGAAGACAATAAAACGAAGGAGATGATAAGAAAGTTTAGAGACATATTTTCAACTACACTTTTTTCTAGTCGAGAGAAATCAGAAACTATTAAGGAGAGAACTGAAGTCAAATCAGATAGAGATGAAGAGCTTAATAAAACAAACATTTCTGATTCTGATGATGATAAAGATGAAGGAATGAATACAAAGTTGGTTGCATTTTTAGCTATTAAACCATTACAACAGAAGTTTCCAGAGAATGAAGAAACACAAGAAGAAGATCAAGATATGAATGTTGATGACCGAATAAATTTGGGTTTTGAGAATAATATTGGCGAGGAAACGATTAGACATCCGCATAATCCAGAAAGAAAAATAGAATTTGAAGGCATAAATGTTGATGACAAAATAAATTTGGCTTTAGTGGTGAATAATATAGACGAGACTATTGAAAAAAAGAATTTAGAAGATAATGTTGATAGCAAAAATCTTGTTAAAGGTGGTGAAATTATTGGTGGGGAGAATATTAGGGAGGGGAATATTGTAGAGAAGGTGGTTGGAGACAACTTAGGTGAGAGCTCAATATTTACACCAAAACACAATCCAAAAGGTATATCTGTTGATTTTTCCCCTTGGTCTGATTCATTCATAGAAAAAATGGATGAGGATTTGCTTAGAATATTCTCAAACAGAAATCCAGATTCAAATACAATTCAAAATCCAGTTGTCAGATCTCCTGTTCCAAAAAAGCTAACATTTGAAAATTCAGAATTTCCCTCCTTTGATCTTCAAATAACCCAACTAATAAACAATGCAGAAACTGGTGATAATTCTGAGGGTAATGATGAAGATGGAGAATTAGAAGGGAATGAAGAGCATATTTTAGATGAGAAAGGGAAAAAGGGTCAGAATGTGAATGAAAGAGGGAAAAGGAAGGTGACTAATCCAGATATTTTTAGATCACCTTTTGTGAATAGGGTAATTGACTTAAGTGAAAAAGTCAGTACTGAGCAAGAGATAATGGCGCAAATCATGTTTAGATGCGTTGCAGACAAAGATCCAATGTAAGTAAATTCATAATTGTGTAATATTCCTATTGGAATATTTTAACTACAATTCAATATTTTTGTTTTGAAGGGAAATGCTGTTTGAAACTGAGTCTGGAGACATAATGGATAGGGTGCATTTTGAGGGTATGCGTCCAAATCGTAAGATACGTCCTTTCGTTATTGATTGTTGGGCTGCTGTTTTTAATTTTGAAGAAGAAAACCTGAGAAACAAAAAATCACCACCACGTGTCTTCTTCAACACTCAAATTATGGTACTTAATTTTTAAATTTATTTTCTATATTCTAATTATAATTTAAAACAATGTATTATAATATTTCTATTGTTCTATATGTACAGACAGAAAAATTACTGGATTCTTCAATACCTTTTGTTGAAAGATCCCGACTTTTTGATGAGGCTGTAAACAATTACTTATATGACATCAAAAGAAAAGTGGATTTCAATTCTATTAATCTGGTATGTATTTTTGATTACAAGATAACATATTCATATTAAAATTTATAAAAATTCATTTGTATTTATGTTTGAACTACAGGTGTTTTTTCCAATACACAACCGTGGTCATTTTTATTGTATTCTTTTCAACCTTACAAATCCAGAACATATAATCATTGACAACATAAGATACACCAAAAAAGTAGAAGATGTCTATGGAGAGATTCCTAAACTTGTGGTAAATGTTTCTTCCATAAATCTAAAAAATTTATTTTAATCATAATTGTTTACTTTAAAAAACCACTCTGTATTAGTAAATAAATTCTGATTAGAATATAAAATATAATATTTATATTCTTATAAGATTTATTTACTTAATATAGTTATCATTTTAGAAAAATAATGGTATTTTATTAATATGCATTGCAGCAAATGTACTTTTCAAAGTTTTTGGACAACAATCGGCGGGATAAGGTTTCTTTGTTTAAATCTATGAAGCCAAAGAAAATGAAAATGGCATGGCAAACAAAAACTAAGACAAATGATGATGGTATATTTTTGATGAGGCATATGGAAAAATACATGGGTGAGAAAGAAGAAAAATGGGATGTGGAACTGGGAGAAGAAAGTGTTAGGACATCTAAAAAGATTGCAAAGCTGCGTACATTTTATGTTTCTAAGCTAGCAAACCATCAAATCAACAAGCAGAGAAAATTGAATGTTACAGAAGCATTGGAATTTTCAAAACATGATAAGAAAACTAGGTGTATGTTGGTGAAAGAAGGCAGTGAAGCAAGAGACAATTTGGAAATGAAGAACGTTTGAAAAAATTTTATATTGGCTTATTACATACAGACATTTTATTTTCTATTTTGTTTTTTTTTTAAAATGCTTATGTTTGAGGATATACTTAAACCATTGATATTTTGCTAAATGATATGCTTAAACCAGTTAGTTGGTATCTTGATAAAATATTTACTGCTTAATAGTAAATGATATATTGCGTTAAACTTTTTGTTTGATAATGCCTATTTATTTGATTAAAAAATTGTTTGGTAAAATGATAAATGATTAAAACACATATTGTTAATATTGTATTAAGCTTATTCTAATTTGTTTTATGTGAATTATTCTGATTATTCTGGTTTCATTAAAATACTTAATAATAAAACGTTTTAATATAATATGTAATTTTGTTTTACAATATTTTAATAAAAAGAATAAATGAAATTATATTTAGTATCATGTTACAATAATAAAAAATTACGATAATAAAAATTTTAGTATACTTTATAAAAAAATACATTGTCTCTATTAGTATAAGTAAAATTTTAGAATAAATGAAAATATTTATTTTAGAATATTTGTAATTAAGTAATTTTATTTTACAATTAAAATAATATTTGAACCAAACTGTAAGTTTTTAAATTAAAAGGGACTAAAAATACTAGGACTTATTTTCCAGGGACGAAAAAGGGACAAACGTGATAACTTTGAGATTTTATACTTATGCACGATGGAAGAACATTAAAATAAAAAAACTCAATTTCTTCATCTGTGTTCTCAAAAACCGTCTTCCAAAACTTCTTATCATTTTCGGTTTTAAACACTCCATCAAAACCCTAACTTCTTGTGCTCTTGAACTCGTCATCTTCGATTTCTCCCTGTATCAATTTCAATTTTCGATGTTGTGAATCCGATTTTCACTTGATAACATCGATAAAACCCTAAACTTAATTTCATTCTTATCGAGTATTTCTTATCAACGAAAATGGCTACATCAACGCGTGCTTCAGAATCTACACCATCAGATCACCTAAATGCCATTATTACCAAAACTTCTCAAGAAATTCCAGGTAATTTAGTTCTGTTAATTATCATTTATATCCTTGAGTTCGTTTGAAAACGGCGATATATCTTTGAGAATTGACCTTCTATTGTTCCTCCAGTCTCCATATCTACATACTAATAATTAGGGCATCGGGCTCTTGTTTCTTAGTGAATATGGCGTTTTTGTGTTGTTTGAGTATGTATTTATAACAAAAATATGCCCCTACTTATATTACATTTAATACATTCTTATGTGGGATTCTTTGGATTAATGATAAATAAAGCTTTAGCCTTTCATCTATTTGCAAGGACATTCAGTTTTGATTTCAACCAAACACATTTATTTATTCATTTTGAGATTTTGTGTGTATGTGAAAAAGGAAATATACACAATTGCTTTCAAGGCAGATATGAAAAGAAACATTCTCATAGTATTGGTCCTGGTGGTCTTGGTCTGAATAAGAATAATAAAGTTTTTCCATTAAACAATTGCATATTTATGCCTCTTAATAATTCAGAACTTGATCTGAATTAGTATAGAACTCATCACATAAACAAAAACAAAATTGTGTAATTAACAATCAAGTTATTATATGTGTTTTCTGCATTTTCTGATAAAATAGAGAGTTATCATTCCACTTTTGACATCTTACTATGTGATTCAACTTCTAACTGTTCTTTTACACAAAACTTTAATCATTATATAAACTTTATGCATGGTTAAGTCAAGCATCACTAGGGTAAGTGGATGGAAAAAATACTATGTACAGGGACATATTCATCAATTTGCTTCTGTTTTTAATGTGTATGTATGTAACTGTGTTTATAGAAAATTCGAGTAATTTTAATCTCATAAAGAAACAGTGCAGGGGCATATTGGTCAATTTGCTTTAAATTTATTATGTGTATCTTTATATGTTGTTTTCTTTGTGTGTATGTATTATGATGAGTTAGAATATAATTTTGAAATAAATGTAAGTGTTTTTCTATTACAGATTACATTTAAATTGTATTTAACATTAATTATTTTCATGCAGATAATATTATAACAAGAATGACAAAATCAAAAATAAAAATGATGACACTGGGTAGAAGTAGTGAAGTTGAAACTTCAACAGGCAAACAGTTGGTTCAAAAAAGAAAATCATCGAAGTCGATCAATCAATTAACAACTACAACATCAAAAGAAAAACAAAAAAAAGGTATATCATCAATTATTCTATTTAATAAAAATATTTACCTCATTTATTTCTGTTATTCTATGTATTATAATAAAATATTCTATATTCTATTATTGTTTTTCTATATTCTATTAATTTTATTCTAATATAATATTTTAATTGTTAATCTAATTTGTTTCTGTTATTCTATATACTTTAATAAACTATTCTATGTATTATAATAAAATATAAAAGAATAAATGATATATTGTGTTCAATGTTTTCTAATAAAATATTTATCTCATTTTTTTATGTTATTCTATGTATTACAAATAAAATATTCTACATTCTATTAATGTTTTTCTATGTTCTATTAATCTTATTCTAGTAGAATATTTTTAAATGTTACTCTAGATATTTGGATATGATAAATCAATTATTATTTCCTAATTTGATTATGAAAATGACAATAAACAGCAAGAAGGTTGTATATGGATAAAACTCATGAAAAAACTTCAATAGCCGAACGACTAATTGAAAGAAGAAAATCATTGAAGCTTATTGATGAATCAGCCAATACAACAGCAAAAGCCAAAGAAAAAAAAGGTATATCATCAATTATTGTATTTGTACTATAATATCTTGTGTATTAATGTTATTCTAATAGCAAGAATGTCATATATAGATAAAATTCATATTTGTTATTATTGATTATGCATTTACAATTAGAGTTAGCATAAGCATTTTACATCATTATGATTTTATACTTTACAATTCCAATATTATGGAACAATATTATGTTTGACATCAATTGCTTATGGATCATAACTGAAAATTCTTGGTATTTTGATGTGAAAGTATTTTTCTATTGTTTATTGATGTGAAAGTATGTTTCTATGATATGAAATATTTATGGTTCATATTACACATTCTATATATTATTATATCATAAATCATGTTATACTTGATTTTTTTTTGTTTTACTTAGCTGATATAGGATTTTGCAACATTTGAGTTTAAATTTTTATAAATAATATATTTTGAATAAATATCTACATTTACTTAGATGATATAGTATTTTTGGATTAAATTTCATAGAATATTCTGATATAATAAGTGTATATGTATAATATTCTGTTTGGAATATTACTTTGTAGTGACAAAGATTAAAGAAGGAAAACGGAAGACGAATAGTGGGGACAATCGTGCAGCAATAAAGAAACAAAAACCGTGAAAGAGCAAAAGACTGTGAAAGATATATTGAAGGAGTTGCCTTCAATAAACACTAGATCGACACCTGGATTGATGACAGATTGTAAGTTCTTTGACATCAGAACAAAAAGATTGGGTGAAACGGATGGGATTTAAAGCCTTTTTGAAGATCAACATTAAGAGTATTCCCTTAAAACTTTGCCATTTTGTGCTTAATCATTATGATGAAGGCACAAACAGTATTCTGATTAAAGGAAAAAGAATAAAGATCACAAAGGAAAAAATTCATAAAGTGTTTGGTTTACCCAAAACTGGAAAAAGCTTATTTGATTTGGACAAGGTTAGTGAAGATCATCAAGTGTTTGATGGATGGATGAAGGAACTTGAAGATGGAAAGGCAAATGCAACAAATTACAAGAAGATTATTCAAAAATCCGAACAAGTGGATATGAATTTCAAGCTGGGTTTCATAGCTTTATTCGTTAATACGTTTGCAGAATCCATTCCTATGGGGACAAACAACTTAGTTCCAGTTAGAGCACTTGTTGAAGTAGATGACATTTCTAAAATCGATTGGTGTGCATATTTGTTGTACTGTGTGAAAAATTCAAAAGGGAGATGGCGTCCAGACAACCCCAAGTGTTATTATAAAGGCCGATGTTGTTGCTATTGGTATGTTTTTTCATATACTTATTTTTTTTTCTTAAAAATGGATATCTAATATGATGTTGAAATAATGCAGCTAATTTACTGTGATGAAATTGAATGCAAGCTCCAAAAAATAGAACGTAAAACACCATTAGTTACGATGTGGACACAGATAAGTTGAAGGAAAGACAATCTTTTGAGATTGAAGCTGGTGGATTTGGGGTTGGGAATCTAATTGAACAAAGTTCAAATTTAGAACTTGAGAAGAATGAAAATCAGGTGAATGAGAATCAGGACACGCGTATTGAGGTATATTCTAAGTAGAATATATTATTAAATTATGTTTTAGAATATATTTTAATTATATCGTAACTTAATATAAGAAAAATATTCTAATGTCTTTTTATATTAGGTTAAAGTATGATTTTATAAAAATCTGGATATTCTTATATTACATGCTTATGGTTCATAGTAAATATTCTAGATATTCTGAGATGATAAAATATTACATGCTCATAATTATATTATTTTATTATTTTTCAGAATATAAAGATAACTTTGATAAGATGTTCAATAAAGTTTCATCAATAAAGGAGGACATGTATGGAATTGTTTTTGATTGTATATCAAAGTTCCAGATGTCAATATAACAAATGAATTGAAAGAGAAGTTCATTAAGTTATTTTCAGATCCTATTTTTTCAAGTGCTGATAATCAAAACAATGAAAACAAAAAAAGGGATCACATGAAAGGGTTGAATCTCAAAATGGTGACACAGGGGAGAATTATATAAGTTCTTACAAATCACCATATATGGATAAAGCTGTGAATTTATTTGATAGAATCGATTTGCAGAATGTTCTTTTGATTCAGGTTCTAATAAGATGTGCACAGGAGAAAAATAGAATGTAAGTCACTAACTCTTGGTATAATACATGTGTATATTTATTCTAATGTTGATGACATATTTTTGTTCATGTTTAAAATTAAGGGAGGTACTTTTTGAAACAAATACGGGAGAGATTATGCATAGACAGGATTTTGAGAGCATGCGGCCTGAACATGTTATACATCATCGTGTGATTGATTCTTGGGCTGCTGTTCTAAATTACGAGGAACAAAAATCAAAAAGTAAACCATACCGCCTGTTCTTCAATACCAAAATTATGGTAAATTCTTTTACAATTGGAACTTCTATATTTTAGTTGTAAATTGTAACAAGATATTCTAATTTTTCTGTTTTTCTATGTTTACAGAGTTCTGAGTTGTTAGATGAAACTAAATCTTTTGACGAGCGTTTTTTAACTTTTGAGACTCGTGTTGATAAGTTTCTATCTAATTTCAAGGCAAATGTAGATTTCAATGATCTTAAACTCGTAAGAATATTTTATTAATTAAAATATTACATTATTAAAAGATAGGAATTATGTTAACTTTTTGATGAATTTGTTGGAATTGCAGGTGGTTTTCCCAATACATAATGGTGATAGATGTATGCTGTTGTTTTCAACCTAACATATCCACAAGTTCATATTATAGACAGCATACAAACAAAATCGTTAGAAAAAACTTATGGAATGACACCAACATCATTAGTAAGTTTTCATTTACTTTTATTAATTGTATTAAAGTTACAATATAATATATTTAATAATGTAATTTTGTTAATATACATTGCAGAAATTGTACTTTATACGATATTTGGAGAAAACTACATTTATCATCAATAAAATCAAAGGTTTGCGATCAACAACAGTGAAGATGATGAAAATTGACTGGAACACAAAGGAGTTGACAACAAAGAATGGAGCACTTTTAATGAGACATATGGAAAAATATTGTGGAGAAAAGCAAGGAAAGTGGAATGTGGAAATGGAAAAAGGCAGTGATGTGCAAGATGTTCAATTTGTAAAATTACGTGCCTTATATGCTGTTAAGATTGCTACACATGAAATCAACAACCACAAGGATAGAGTTATCAAAGAGGCAATCGAATTTGGAAAATTTGATCATGCGACTAGAAAAAAGATGTTAGAGGAAGGTATCCAAAGGATGGATGAATTGGAAATGGGTAATAGAATTTGATAGAAGTTTGGAATTTTATAAATGTGGTTATGGTGACTTAACAACAATTCCTTTTCTAATATCTGTATTATTTTGAACAAATTAGACAAAAAAAATGATGCCTAGTATTATGTAAGAAACTTGATATGGTTTATTAGGTGATTAATGCTTAATGTATATAGGTATTATGATCACTTCTTAATGATATGGTTTATTAGGTGATTAATGCTAATGTATAGTAGGTATTATGATCACTTCTTAATGACCATGGTAGAATATTCTAATAGAATAATGTATAATGGCATCAGTATTCTATTAGAATAATATTAGATGTTGCATATACCTATATAACATTCTTACATGCATAATCTTGTATTATAATATTTTGATAACAAAGCATTATACTGCAATCATTCGTATATACTTCAAAAAATTAAAGATTGAAAATATTAGAAGAATCAATATGTTCTCAAATGTATAACACATCATCACAACCCAAATGTCTCATACATCATCACAAACCAAAACAATAGAAAAAAATCCAAACTAAAAAATTCAAACTTTTATCTATATGGTATTATTGAACTTTATTGAAATACAAAAAAAATCGAAATATATTTCTAGACACAACTATGCACTTTGTACCTTGGAGTTATTCAACAATGTCAAACATTTCCTTGAATTATGCCCTTTAACCCCACATGTTTTGCATGATCTTGATTGCTTGTTACCTTGAATAGTAGCCTTCTCCAAAGCACTTTTTAAACGTTTTCCTGTACCAGAACCTTTATTCTTCACCATAGGTGGATTTTCAACATCAACAACTTCAGGATTCGTAGTAGCTCCGTAAAGTTTATCAATATGAGCTTCTTTTGTAACCGGTAATTTGTCTGAACCTTGTTCACCAATATCAGTCATAAAAACTTCAAGCTTCTGCATGAACTCTTCTAACTTCTTGCATCATTACTTAATGAAAGACAGGCATTGATCAAGCATGGAAAAAGCTTTGTATGCAACCTTCTCAACATTTCCAGACGAATCACTATATCTAAACGTCCTTTTCAAAACTGTGGTGGGGATAATATCTCTTCTCCATCTCTTAAGAATGTATCTTGACGGAATCTCTTTGTATGTCATAAATCTTTAGAATACAGAAGATGTGTCTACAAAAAATTCCAAACCGCTCAAAAAGCATGCATGAACATTTCACCGTTAGATTCTCTGTTGAATTCAACTGTTTCAAAAAGTATTAGCATAATAAGCATATTCAAAAAAGAAAAATTAGAATATTTTTTCAAAATTATTAGAATATTAAGTATATTCTAAAATGTCAACATTACCTCAAAATCATTCACTTGTGTTAAAATTCCATTCAGAATCGATGTCAACTTTTTCTTTTTTCTCAACTACTACCTTCTTCTTTGATATATTTGTCCTTTTATGTTTGACAATGCATATGTCAGAAACAACGCCTGATGTAACACTCTTC